GAGGATTCTGGTACTTGAGAAGTGATCTGTGCGGCGGCTTTTAATGCGGTGTTGTGGGTTCTTCTAAGGACTCATCCTTCTTCTTATCTTTTTCTGGGTGCGTATGGGCGTCATTTTCCTGCCTGAGTTTTCCCGTACGTGGAATATTTTTTGTTCGGTCTTTAAATACTTTAAGACGGGTTCCAGACATCGGTTCCTTCCATCTTGTGCCGTCTAATTCCTCTATTAAGTAGGCTCCGCCTTCAAGTCTTTTGACCAATCTATAGGGCCTCATGCATCTGTTTTCTAGCTTCCCTGTCCATGTTCTCTCTAATGAGGAGTCATAGAGCAGGACGAGGCTCCCTGTAGGTATCCCTTCTTGCCTGACGCGAAGGTTCCTATCCTATCTTTCTTTCTCTTTTCCTCTCTGGATCTTTAATTTGTCTATGGTGTCTAGGATGTTATCCTGAAGAGTTTCGACTATTTGTTTGATTCTTATGGCCAACAACTGTTCTCTAGTGGAGATCTCTTCCCATTCAATCGTTTGCCAAGAGTCGATATGAAATTTAATAGGTAAGGGACAATGGCGTCCAAACCATAACGTATAGGGCGGATATACTGTAGTTGAGCGAGCCGTAATGTTATTTCCCCAGATGGCGAATCTCAAATATTTTGGCCAGTTCTTCTCCTTTCCTTCGCACCATTTAGCGAGCGCGTTGACTAGAGACTGGTGCCCTCTTTCTACAGGAGCGTTAGTTTGAGGATGATATGTTGTGGATAGCGATACTCGTATTCACGCTCTTTGGAGCAATTCTTGGATTTCCTTAGCCATGAACTTTGATCCCCTATCCATGACAATTTTTCCAACGCAGCTGTAGCGAGTGATATATTCAGTCAAATAACCACTAACTGCTTTGTCTGTTTTTTGATGTAGTGGCCATGCCTCCACGAATCCAGTGAAGTCGTCTCTAATGTCCATAATGTAATTCATTCCTCCTTCTCCCTTGGGCATCTTAACTAGGTCTACGTGTACTTTCTGGCCTATTGCAGTGGGATAGGAAGGAAATAAGGGTTCTTTATATTTAACTATCGCTCTCTTCTGGCATTCCACGCATGTCAGACAGTATGATTCTACGTCCTTATATAGGCCGTCCCACCAGTAGAGGTTCCTAATTTTTTCAAAAGTTYMTTTTACTCCTCTRTRTCCTCYGACGATGCCATCGTGAAGTTCCGCTATTATCTCTCGGCGCTCGTCCTCATCACAGACCACTCTCATTAGCATTCCATTTTTAGGTGGTCTCTTAAAGAGATGTCCTGCCTTGAGGCAATATTATTGAGCTTCCTTCCTAAGCTTGTCATCTAATTCGATTTCCCCTATAAGATAACACTCTATCTTATGATATTTGCCAATGTATAGATTTTTAAGAAACAAGGAAGTTCCTCCTGCAGCAGGCTCTATTTTTAAGGAGCTTATGTCCATTTGTAAAAATTTGTCAATGCCACTAGGCGACCCTAGGTCTCCCTCTTCTAGAGGGATTCACGAGAGACCATCAGCAACTGAGTTCTTAGCTCCGGATATTCGCTCTACTACGTAGTCAAACATCCTTATATGCATGAGTCATCTGGTGATCGTTGGATCTGTCAATGAAAAGTCTTTTTGTAAGACAGCTGCCACTGCCGTCGGATCGACCCTCAGTACGAACCTTCGCCCGTAAATATAATATCGGAAAATATTTAAACTATGTAAGACTCCTAAAACTTCTTTCTTAAATTGTGAGTAGTTCCTTTCGGTGGCGTTTAAGGTTTTACTCTCGAATCTGAGAGGCCTTTCATTGTCGGCTTGATCCTTTCGAGCCAAGACTTCACCAACAGAGGCAAGTCCCGCATCCGTACATACGACGAATGGGCGGTTTTCCTCGTCTTCGAAGTAAGGTACTCCAAGGACTTGACCTCCTTCCTTAAACTCATCTTTTAACGTTCTTATTGTATCCTCTTGTTCACTCATCCATTGCCATTCTACTCCCTTGCGCAAAAACTTTCGTAGGGGTTCGGCCTTTGCAGCATAGCCTTTTATGAAACCCCTCCAGAATCCGACCACTCCTAGAAACTGGCGTATGTCAGTAATATGTCTGAGGCAACGTTGTCGAGCGGGGATCCCCGGGGGCAAAGCCGGTGTGAGGCTGCGGCCCCCGGACCCCCGCCGCGGGGGCCATCCAACCGCGCCACCGCCAGACGACCCCCGCCGCCCCGCTGCCCGACCACCGAGCGGACAACCCCGACCACCGGACCCCGCCACCCGCGATCACCGG